AACTTTAAAGGCAGAGACAACTTGAGAGACTTAGGCATAGATGCAAGGATAATATTAAAGCTAAACATGTAGGAAACGAGTGTGTGGGATGGATTGGTTTAGAATAGGGCGAATTTGAGGGCTAATATGAAAAAAACGAGGATTTTCATGACCATCTGAGCGACTACCAGCTTCTCAAGGACTACTTGACTCCATGAACTCAATTAATTGAAGATTTGCGAAGTTTTTGCCTTAAAAGAGGACAACATGGCAACTGGCATTGTTCAAGAACCCCTGCGGCTGACCTGTCGAGTGCTGATGTATAAAACAACAGCTGTTACGTCACAGGTCCGTTCCGCCTGAGTGTGTAGGCCTCCCACAATAACCCTGGGACTGAGAACGCGGTCGGTCGCTTTCCCTGACATGACATTAGATACTCCAGCAGCGACAGACCTCTGCATTATCTACAAGTCAGAGAAGGAGACGTAAAATCTGAGGCGTGCTCGAGACGCCATTTTGTATTCACCGTTGAGTAACCTGCATAATCTGCGAATTTAAACTGATGTGCCCCCTCGCGACAACAGACTTTCCCCTGACCTTAATCTTGGCATTAACCCTTTCAATGCTACAAACGAGACAAATAGATTAAAACTCGAATCGTTCTCAATCAAATCCATTGTCGTGTTCTACAAAATAAAATAAAATTCGTGAACAGCTGAAGATAAATTTGTGTGGTTCTTCGATAATTAAAATGACATGATATAGTGGAAATATAGCAAAAGACAGTTTACTGAAATCTAACCCAGCATGATAAGGGTTCTTCTATTATAATGAGCCAGTTGTGTCCAATCCACAACCTACATACTTACGACTCGTGTAAACATTTCCCTGCAATATACGCCTAGAACTTTCCTTGAGAATTTTCGCTTAAAATTTTATATGGACTTATTTTTAACATGAGTACTACACGTCCCGCTTATCTTAACATTGTCTGATAGTTGTGATATACGGTCACGCGGCGGTTACAAGGGACGCGTTTACCAGAGAATGGATCGTCATTATAATTCGTTACACGTCTCTCGAGAAACCCCATTAATGAATCCTTGCATGCCCTGTAATGAAAATTCCACACAGAAATAACCAGCGAGTGTTTTAATTCTGCTCGAGTTTGTTATGACCTTTGCTAAAGGAAAGCTAGAAGCTTTGTTCTTATTAACAAATAACCTAATACTAATTCCATAATATATACGGAGCGCAAGTTCTCTGATATTTAAAGCCTTGAAAACTGCAAGTGAAGACATAAATACGGCCTTCAGCTTTTGTGCCACTATCGGCTAGGCTAACAGTCACGTCCCACCACACGACTGAAAATTTATGGGAATAAAATGCGAACAGTTTTGGAATTTATTAACCACTAGCAGAGTATCCGTAGTGGTACTATGGGAAAATTCAACAAATGCATGCCTAACCTAACCTAACATAACCTAATCTAAGAAAACCTAACCTAAACTAACATTCAGCATGAATCTTTGTCCTGAAAGCTTACCATAGAACTGATAATTCAATACGTATACTTAAATAACATAGGAAAAATTATCATTCATAAATCCAACATCTTCATCGAGACTCAAACCCAGGACAAATATCTCGGGTTATGACCTCTGTTCTATAATCTATTTCTCGAAACATCTATGGTCTTTGTGCCGTTCTATCGTGTTCAGTTTCCGAGCTATAGAAATGGCCCTCATCATGAGTTGAAAGGCGTCCCTGTTCTTCGTTCAAATCGGGATATGCCGTCGGCGTCGGCATGACAGGCGTCGTGACGCTCTTTCCACCAAGCCTCTCGTCTGTCGCCAATTCATAGCCATCAGTTCCCCAACTCATTCGAAGATGCATTACCTCCGCTGGTGAAAGAAGTTTTTAAATTTGAAAATAACGGAGTACAATGATGAAATAAAAACAGAAACTGAGGAGAAATCTGTCTGCCTCCAAGGACCGAGGAAAGCCGGGAAAAACTGTCAGCGTAGCAGGACCCAGTGTCAGCAAGACAATGCGAATTCTAACGCGCGCGAAGGATTAATCGTTCGAGGATACAGATTAGGCTACTCTTAGGTAAGAAAGCTAAGTCAGTGAACCGAGTAGCTGTGGCTCATTCATTAACTACGTATCGACAGTGTGACGGAGGTCGGTGAACGCTGTTATGGTTTTTATTCGCAAAAACCAAGATTTTAATCTGATACACATAGAAAAACATTCGCTTATTGGAGACACTTGAGGTTCTCACGATGGAAAATGGCCGTCTTTGGGTGATTTAATGACGGAGACAGTAAACACTTCTGAAACGTCGAACAATGTCTATG